AGTTTGTAAAAAATCGATGGTAGTTGCTTAACTCATGAGCGAGGAGCTACACCTCAACTAATTTGACATATTGAAAGATCGACAGATCTTAAAATCAATTTCAGACGAGTTTGAGATCTAATTCAGAATGAATCCAGTTCACGTTTTAAGCCAGATTTCAACTCCACGACGGAGGATATCCGGCTGACAAAATTTGGCTTTCCCGTGAAGGGGGCCATCCAAAGAATTATGATCGGTTTAGACCCGCGAATGGGGGTCATCCTTTTATTTAGAGGAAATTTATAGCACAACTTAAGTCGAGAAAAGCTTACTGTCAACAAACAACTTTTCAGTTTCATTCAGAGTAAATTTCAACTTCACAACGAAGGATATTGGACTCGAGGCAACACAAGCTCAACTTCACAGCGAAGGGGCGACTGACTGTCAACAAACAACTTTTCAATTTCATTAAGAGCCAATTTCAACTTCACAGCGAAAGATATTGGACTCGAGACAACACAAGCTCAACTTCACAGTGAAGGGGCAACTAACTGTCAAGAAACAACTTTTCAGTTTCATTCAGAGTCAATTTCAACTTCACAACGAAGGATATTGGACTCGAGACAACACAAGCTCAGCTTCACAGTGAAAGGGCGATTGACTGTCAACAAACAACTTTCCGAGTCTCGTTCAGAGTCAATTTCAACTTCACAACGAAGGATATTGAACTCAAAGCGACATAATTTGTTTGAAATTGGATTTTAACTCCACGACGGAGGATATCCAACTCAAAACCAACTTTCTCGAGATTGGATTTCAACTTCACAACGAATGATATCCAACCCAAAACAACATACAATACTTGGATTTCAACTTCACGACGAAGGAGCCATCCACGATTTTAACTCCACGATGGAGGATATCGTATCCACAAATCCACGATTTCAACTTCACAAAGAAGGATATTATGCCCGATAAAGTGATTTAGTGTCACAGCAAACATGTCATCCACAAATTTGACTTCCTTAAGTCAACGATTAGAACTTCTGAAAGGATTTCTTTAACATACATGAACAAGCAGATTGTCGATCGCCTTTGAGATTATTTCTCTCGAAACAAGGGGTCGTCTCACTTGAGACTAATTTACTCAAAACAAAGGTTTATTTCTCTTGAGACAGTTTCTCTTGAAACAAATTTTGTCTCTCTTGAGACAATTTCCCTTAAAACAAATTTTGTCTCTATTGAGACAATTTCCCTTGAAACAAAATCTTTGAATATGTTTTACATTAAACAAATTTCATCTCCCTTGAGACAGTTTCTTTTGGAACTAAGTTTTGTCTCTCTTGAGACAGTTTCCCTTGAAACAAAATCTTTGAATATGTTTTCCTTGAAACAAATTTTGTCTCCCTTGAGACAATTTATTTTGGAACTAAGTTTTGTCTCTCTAGACACAGTTTCTCTTGAAACAAATTTTGTCTCTCTTGAGACAGTTTCCCTTGAAACAAAGTTTTGTCTCTCTTGAGACAGTTTCTCTTGAAACACCAATCTTTGAATATGTTTCTCTTGAAATAAAATTTTGTCTTCCTTGAGACAGTTTCTCTTGAAAAAAAACCTTTGAAAATGTTTCTCTTGAAACACCAAAAGACCTTCGAGTTCGATTACACTCAGTTCAAGGCGCATCATTTGCAGCATAACTCAAGGCTAGAAAGGTTATCTGCCAACACAAGACCTTTGAGTTCGATTACGCTCAGCTCAAAGGTACATCATTTGTAGCATAGCTCAAGTTGAGGTTTTTCAGTCAAGAAGAAGACCTAGTTTAGCCGTGCCTTAGTGACAAGAAACTGTTTTCCGACAGCATAGCTTAAGTCGAGAAAAGCTATCTGTCAACGAAGACCTTTCAAGTTCGATCTCATTCAGCTTGAGTGCCTATCAACCACTTGGTGGAGTCAAAGAATTATTTTCCAGTCAAATTTTCAAACCAAGGTCTTTAAACCGAGAAGAAGACCGTAGTTGACTACAATTTGGCAACGAGAAACCATATTCCGATTCAAATTCTGAATTACTGCTTAAATTCCATTTCAAGATGGACCCAACTTCGCAACTAAGGAGCCATTTACAACTCAACCTCACGATAAGGGAGTCATTTCAGGATTCAATTCAAATTGACAAATCAGTCTCAGCATCGGATTTCAACTCTACAACAGAGGATATTCGATGGGGATTGACCCCTATATGGATGGTGTTTGATATATTCATGTTAGACGAAAAATGTGTTTTTTAATCTTTGCCCTACACCCGTTACACGACTATGGGAAAAGAGGGGCAGCTGTCGACACATATTTTCATCCATGTGGCATTTACATTTACATTTATGTGTTATTATTTATAATATATGGTTTATGTGTATTACATAATGTATACATATCATATTATTTATTATAATTATAACATATTTATTCATTTGGTTTACATGGTAAAGGCCCAAAGGCAAGTAAAATGCTACCCGACAGCCCAAAAGCATGCCAAGCCCAGTACAACAGCCCACTATGCTAGGGTTTGAAACCCTAGCTTTCCATTCTCTCGTCCCAGCCGCCAATCGCGATGACCGTTGGATCTAGATGAGATCCAACGGTTCACAACATACCATATTTTAGGGTTTCCTCACCTTTCCTCCAAGCGATGCCGCATCACCTACTCAACAAGGCCGAGTCTTTCGTCGGTTTCCTCACCCAGCAACAACCCACGAACACAACAACACCAAAACAACCAACAAACGAGAGTCAGAGTTCTACTAGGACTCAAAGTAGTCTAAAATAGTATTATTTTTACTTATAAATAAATGTAATCTCACAGAAAATCAGGGATAATTACTAGAGGAAAAAAATCCTACGATTATACTAGCAAATACGAGAAATCGAAGCAAACCTTATAAACCTTCGAAAGTAAAGAAAGAAAAAGGTAATATTTTTTTTACCTTTGGTTTGATTTTAAATTGCATGCGTGATGTTCATATCCTTTTTTTGGTTGATTCGAAACAAGAAGCCAATGACAGAGGAAGAGGGGATTTTTCGAACCTTCGTTCGTAGATATACTCTTCTCGAGGCTTGATCTAAAAAAAAATTTGGATTTTCGAAACGAGGAGGGGAAAAGCTTTTAGAAAATAATTTTTTTCGTGTTGGCGGCGTAGGGTAGTCAGATTCTGGAAACAGGGTCTGTGTTCTTCATGGCCGAAGAACAATTGAGAGCATATGGGGTTTTCTTTGTTTTAAAAATGAAAGAGATGAGAAATTAAAAGAGAAAGTAACTTAAATACTAAGCCCATCGACCCGACCGACCCGACCCATACCCTCATAGGGATCCACGTGTTTTTTAAAATAAATGGAGAAATCTCTTTTTGGTCACTCCGTGTTTTAAAACATTTAATTTTTCCCCTAATGCGTAATACCAACGCTAATTGTCTTTCAAATTTGGCCCCAATTCTAGCTTTTCTTTTATATTAGTCCTTTATTTATTACATGAATATTTTTTTATTATTCTTATTATTATGTATATATATATTAATTATTTTCATTTGGCTATTTTTTTTTATTTTTTATGTTCTATCGTTATTTATATATATACATACTTTTAATTTTTTTTCTATCATTATTGTATATATATTTTAATTATTTTGACCATTTTTATTACATCATATTATATATATATCTATTATTTTTATTTTTATTATTTTTATATATTTTTCTCATATTTTTAGATATTTTATTTATGTATATATATATACATATTTTAATTTTATATATTTATTTGTTTTACTAATATCATAATATATATTTATTTTTATCATTATTTTTTTTCCTTTTTATTTAAATATCGTTATATATATTATTGTTTTTATTTATTTATTTATTTTTATATTAAGTACTATATTACATATATGTAGATATTACCTAACATATTTTTTTCAGATTATTTTTTTCTTCCTAGGGCCCCCTCCTATTTTTTCTCTCCTTGGCCGTGGCCACCATGGAATTGGACAAATTGTTCTAACTCAATTTTCATTTTTTTTTTCGGTGAAGTGATGTATTAGGTTAGGATTGTTTTTTTATTATTTTTTTTCCTCTTATCTATTATTATTATTATTATTATTATTATTATTATTATTATTTTATATATATTTTTATTTATTATTTATTATTTTTTACTTTTTTCTCTTTTTTGGTTTTTTTATTATAATTATATATATTACCATTATTATTTTTATTTTCTCTGTCGTATTTATTTATTTATTTTTATTTTTCTTTTTTTATTTTTATTTTTATTTTTCTTTATTTTTTTTATTTTTTTATTTTTTTGTTGTATTTTATTTGTCTTGTATTTTTTTTATTTTATTCATTTTCATTTTTTTCTTTTCCTCTTCTAATATTTTTATCCTTTAAGGGTATTTCAGTTAATCAGATGTAAATTTTTGGATCGTTATTTTACCTTTTAATTTAAGCTTTGAACTTTCTTAATCAAAGACAACTGAAAATTATATAGTACCAAAAGGGAAGTTTAAGGGTGATAATCCTTTCTTGACTGTAACCGAATCCCGAATCCAACACATCTCTGGTAAGACACAGACTAGGTAAGAAATAAAGTATCCGATCAACCCATTTGCTTTAAAATAAATGATCGGTTACGATTCCTAATCTATTTTCTTAAGTCGAAGTCCAATTTCAAGACTCAATCAAATGACGATTCCGACACAATTACCATAAAAGTGTACAAAGGGCCGAGTTGGGATTCTTTAGTAAATTCCCTTATGTTATTAATTAATAAGTAGTTCCTTAATTTCTCAAATCTCAAACTTGCTTTGAATTACGATACGACAGCCGCTTGTTTCACCTCAAATTCTAAAAATCTACAAATACAGATTCCTATCCATCCGCGTACACATTATGAATCACGTGTTTAATCCTAATTCCACGTGCTCCACCCCCACAACAAAAAACAACCCAAAAATCCCTATTCCCGCCTCGTCGCCCATTCGGCGCGTGGGATTTCCAATCCAATCCAGGCATCGACAGCCACCATACCAGCTCATCGATCACGAACTACTGGCTAGGATTTTCCCATTTGCTTTATAAATTTCAAGAAATCGCTCCGCCAAAGTAAATTAAGATAAATTTTAATGGCTTTATCCTCATTGGATTCTCTTTTGTTGATTTCTTCTTCGCTTCAGTTTTGTTTTGTTAATCGATTTTTAATTTCAATGCCTTCTCATCATCAGATTCTTAGTCAACCTTTTACCCTTTTCTGACATAAAAAGTAAAAAGGTACAACACAAGTCGTTCCAGCATGGGTAAAGTAAGATTGCTTTTCTTTTCTTTTTGTTCTCTTTAATTTGGGTAGAATGATTTGATTAACTCTTTTTCCCCAAGTTATTTTATTGTCTTCCCTAAATGATATAACTGTTGATTGTTGATGTCTTTGTCAAAGCTCACATAATGAGTTTTATATTACTCGTTTTGGATTGTGTTTGTCGTTAATTTTTAGTTTCATCTGTTAAAGGTCCCCCCCCCCCTAAATAGAAGGATTTTTTTAACTTGGCAAGTAAAACTCAGCGTAAGAATGCGGCAATGTTAGATAGTGACGATGATACTTGCAGCGTAAGTTCATCGTCAGCCATGCGTTCTGATCGAATGTCGCTAGCTGGTATCGAAGAAGTAGAGTTTAATAAGGATAGTTTACTTGATGAAGCTGTTGACGCTCTGTATGAAAAGAGGTTAGAATTAGTAGTTTACTTTTCCGGTAACTTCTTTTGCATGTGATTTGATGCATTTGAATGGTTTAATTGTTTTCTGTGGTGAAATGAACGCCATTATGTTAGTCAAAATTAGATACTTTGCTAGGTTTCGAAATTAGTAAAAATTTGAGAATGATTAGGCTACTGAGTTGATTGTAGCTGAATTGGTGTTTTTATCTCTTGTTGGTGAAGGGGTTCTACACGTGAGAAGGCCTTGTCCGTGATTATCGAGGCTTTCAATAGCAATTTGCAGCACCAGTTCGTGGAGAAGAAGTGAGTTCCTCTTTTCTAAATATTTTATCTGGCTTGTAGTTTGCTATTGGAAGAATTGTATAGAGGATTAAGGCCACGGTTCTATGAAATTTTATTAATCTGTGATGAGCTGATAGTATATCTTAGTTGGTTCCTAAAAAATGGGCATGCAAAAAGCTAGGATTAACATTTTATAGTGAGACTGAGCAATTAGTTGTTCAAATTCCATATTGTTAGATTGTGATTTTCTACTATTAAGCACATTGGTAAGTGTAGGTGAAAATGTTTCTCATGATACGCAATATATGGTTTGAATAATTGTATCCATGTGCTTCTTCTAATGGTCATATTATTACTTTTGGCTGTTTTCCAGATTTGCCACATTACTGCATCAATGTTTGAATTCCATCAAAAAGGGGTCAAGCAAAGAGATATCTTTGGCATCCCATAGCATTGGTTAGCTTGAATACTTTCTCAAATGATCATGCACACATGCCAGATAAGAAAACACAAGGCTTCAGTAAGTGCTCAAGCTGTTATCTTTTTCTGAGTAGGGTTGCTGGCCTTAACTGTGGGTCCGGGAGATAAAGCTCGGGAAATATTGGAAGAATCAATAATTCCTCTTTCACAGCCGTTTAAATCTGGTTCTGAATCTTCTAAGACAGCCTCGATGAGTAAGAAATTGAATAGGAGTTCATTCTACTTCTAATATTTTGTTTGTATTATGATGCTCTACCAATTTTGGCTTCACACGATCTGGTTTCTTATTTTAGTTACTGGATTGTTTGGCTATCATCACGTTTGTTGGGGGCATTGATCCAGAGCAAACAGAAAAATCAATGCAAACTATGTGGCAATTAGGTTCTAATGTAAGTATATATGCCTGATTTTCACTGATTGAAATGGATATGATAGTTTATCAAGGGCCATATAAGGTAATTTATTGGTTCTTTTTCTTTACTTGTGGATTGATCGTTTCTTTTCGACTTGTAGGTTGTTTTTGTGAAGCCTTCTGCAGCTGTAATAACAGCAGTTGTGTCTGCTTGGTCATTTCTTTTGACAACATATCCAATGTTGAAAAGGTTGGTTCGTACTTTCTACTTTATTATCATTTTTATCCTGACCGTTCTGTACCCACTGTCTGGAATGAAAAAATTTCCATCCCGTTCCTCTTCACATCCACGTTTCTAAAAGTAGAAAGAATCCGCTCCATTCGGAGTGGGGTGTTTCGGAATCCATCGGACGGTTTGAATTTTGTCATCCCTATATGAAACTAATATATCTGTTTGCTTCCGATTCTGTGGCACAGAGAATGTACAAGTCTCCAAATTCTGCCCTCAACAAAGCAAGAACCCAGCTATTGAACAAGCAGCGGATGCTATCTGCAGTAAGTATCTTCATTGAAGTTGATTTTCCAAATGCTGTATTAGTGAAGTTCATTGTGAATGCTTCTGTGTATTCAGGGTAGAAACATTGGGCACTATTCCGTTAATGGAGGTGATGAAGATTCTTAAGCTGCTGCCTGCCAAGCCAAGGCAGGACCACCAATAGTTAACATGCTCGCCTTTTTTATATTCTTTGTACGCCAATATATTGAAATTCAAATATGTGTAACTGAGAAACTAGGAACCATCTTGAGGAAATGACTCCATAATCAACAGATAAAATGTCAATATTCTTGTACTTTTTATGTGATTATTTTAAAGGCATATTCATGACTTGATCAACTCGCTGTGTTTTGGGCTCACGGTGCTATTTGTCTTTCATAGAAGTTAGTGAGATGACCTTTTTGGTTCTCAGTTAATGTTTACAATTAATACTTGTATTCAACAATTTATATATACAAAACATTTATTTATTTTAGTTGTATACATTATTTAAAACTGTGATAGTGATGATGATGATGATAATAATAAAAGGAAAGTATAATTATGTACATAATTATCCAATTCTTACTCTTTCATATAAATTAAAGTGTAGTTAAAGGTTCCAATTGCACTGAATTACAATAATTGACTAAACAGGATATGTCTACACTCAAATTTAACTGTACTTACTTTCGAACAACCTTATTTCTTTTGTTGTGTGTGTGTTGGGGGGGGGGGGGGGCACACTCTATTCACAATTCGCAACGAGTTACCTTTTCCCTTGGCCTTGACCAACACCATTCCATCTCTCTCACAGTAGAAGACTTGGCACGGCAGATCTTGTCTCCAGGGAAGTAGTGCGCAAGCCCAGCACATCTTCATGTAGTGTTCAATAATCTTCTGAATAACCTCGTAAACTTCTAGACATGCAACTACGATCCCTTTGCCATAATCAGAGAAGGCTAAAGAGATAATTTGTTTATAATTTCCATTAACCAACTAAACTCAAAGCATGTTAATACAATAACAAAAATTCAATTTTGAATAGCGCTAAAATAATTTCAGCCTTTTTCCACATAAACACGAGAAGCATTTCCTCTATAAAGGAATCAAACATACCAAATGAGACTAACAAAATTACAGTTGACCTTTTTTTTATCGAATAAAGTTTAAAACAAAAACGTTGGTTCTGTTATGTACCTGACAAAACTAATAACCTATCAGGCGGCAAAAAAAAGACTTTTGTACATGGAGATAAGCAGCTTCATTGTTGGTGGTGATTTTCTCCTACTTTCTGGGTTCTAACCAATCTGCAGGTGATGCAGGGGTATCATGCCATCCCCGAAGATCTAGACTGGAACAAGGTTTTCTCCAGAAGTAAGCCATGAAGCTTTGTTTCTTTGGGCAAAACCAGGACAATGAGGCAATCAGATGCATTAGGTGGTACAACCGAGAGCATAGAACATGCTTCTTGCGAGTATGGAAGAATAAATAGAAGCCTGGACCACATGGATTTCATTGCTGGAATCTTAATCACTCCTGCACAATCCCTTTGCTTCAAGTACGAAATAAAATCCTGAAACTGGAGAGAGAGAGAGAGAGAAAGTTTCAAGAATATGCCAGATCATTATTTTCTAACATTTCGGCATGAATAAATTGTTCAGAAGGGAGCATTTGGTTAAACATAAGATTGCTTCAAGCTGAAGCCTAGAGGTAGTAGTAGAGAACAGAAAAACATCAAGAGGCATGAACACGAAATCTAATACGCAAATAACACAAATTCACATATTTTAATTAGGGTAAAGTTTCTAAACATAAGATGACTTACGCCTTTATAGTCACTTGCAGAACAAGGGATCAGACAACAAACTTCTCTCTGCACCACAGAAAACATCACCCGTGATTACATTTTAAAACCAGAAGAATCTGTCATAAACAATAATACTCCCTTTGTCCCATTAAATATGTTCCTTGTTGACTTTTTTCTGGTCTAAATTTTTTAAATTCAACTCATTATGATTTAAAATTTATTATTATTTTTTAAAATTTATTATTGATAAAAATATATTTTAAAAACCTTAAATCAAGTAGTTTTCAAATATATATTTTATAAAATTTAATTGTTTAAGATATTTAAAATAATCATGGTGAAAGTTTAAAATTTTTTACTTTTAAAAAAATTAAGAATGGCCAAAATTAATGGGACGGAGGGAGTAATAGAAAAGGAAGATATTGGGGAACATTAATCTCAGCTCTTTCCACAATAATTAATAATCTTGAAATATGGGAGGAACATTATTGACGCACTTTATGTGGTGGGGTGTTGGTGAAAGTTGATTTGACGTGCCGGAAATCCGTGCGTTTGGTCATGTCTAGTTTGGCAGGCCATCTGTAAACATGCAACAGAGCTTAGTTACAATAGAAATTATTCTCTACTCCTGACAAAAATCACGACAAGGTCAAAAATTAAAGGGAAAGGAGAACAAAGTTCCTACTCGGCGGGTTCAGAACTGGCGTTTGAATATTTGCAAAGATCTGAATCTAGTCTCTGAGCATAAATTGTGCAATATTGAGCCCCACTCTTACATAATGAGCCCTGCCACTGATACTTTATACACTGTTCAGAACAACCCATGTCAGTTGATTCTGTTATGGGTGGAGGAGGCGGAGGAGGTGAATTAGGCGGAGGGGGAACCAGAGGTGGTAATGACTGAGGTAATGGCGGCGGAGATAGAGGTGGAACTGGTGGTGGGGGTGGCATCGATGATAAAGGTGGCGGGATAACAGGATGCGAAAATCCCTGCTCAAAATGCTGCATAGGTGGTCCTTGCATCTGAGAAAGTGGAGTCACAGAAGCAGAAACAAAGGGAGATGGAACAGCACTGCAATGAAAAGTATTAGGCACTACACCAGGTGAAATTGGATTCTGAGTGACCTGATGATTAAAACCTCGGGGATCCCAGGAACTGTTTGAAGGATGGTAAACAGGTCGCATAAATGGAGGTGCCTGAAGTTGTGGTGGTGGTGGAGGAGGAACAAGACTTTGTGTTGCTATAGGCATGCATGGCATGCTCCCAGGTGCAGAATGCAGATCACTTGCAGGTTTATGATAATTCCATACTTGGGAGGAGGCACCGGAGACAGGAACACCACCTAAAATACAGTTAGTCAACATACAACATTGTCAAGAAATAACAAGGATAAGATCCACAGTTGTGATTATGAATAGTTAGCCACTCAGCACATATGACTTTACCTCCTTGGGCACCTTCTGGCATATCTGTACAACCATGTGGAGGCCAATTTGATTGAAATGGATGTGCACCTGATACGTGAGTTCCATGATTCTCCACCCTTAACTTCGGAGATACAAGTTCCATTGAGCTGCTTGACATGCTTGCTGAGGTATTGTTTTTTTCAGCATGGATAGGTGGAGCAGCATCAGACCTTCCACTGTCAACATGGAGGACTGTGACAGTAGGTGGTGCAGCATTAAATGGCGGTATATGGCTGCTTCTTTCTTTTCGATGCTGTCTAAGATGTGCCATAACCGCAGCAGCTTCTTCAGGAGTTTCATATTCCAGCAGCAATGCACATTCACAAGTAAGATCAATAACCCTATAAGGACCCTTGTAGACCACTTTCCGTGATTCATGCAGAGTTTCATCCTTTGCCCATTGACTCGAAATGTTTCCAACATAAACATGTGAACTAGAACCAACAGCAACACCATTCACAGAACCCCTGGTTCCCAACCCTACATCCATGAACATTACTCGCCAAGGAAAACAACCACGCATGTACTCCCTAGCTTGTACGGCATCGATGATGTTTCTATACTCGACCAAAGCAAAACCTTTAACTGGAAAGAAGTAATATTGCTCAATGGGACCAAACCGCTCTAGCTCAAACCTTACATAACCCTCAGATGCATCAGCCCCTAAAGATCCCAACCATAGCTGCAGAGAAGCTGAGAAAACACCCATGCTAGCAGGATCACTATCAAAATACCAAACACTTTGAGAAGATGCTGCAAAACGATTATTGGGTGATGCCAAAGCATTGCTGACACCTCCGCTGGTGGATCTTAGAGCTGAAGCACCACCAGAATTTGAAACTTGACTCATGTCAGCATTCTTCAAGTGGTTTCTACCTTCAAAGGAAGTACTCCTGAAGTCCCGTGGTGTTCTAGTAGCAGGTGAAAGCAACTGATGGCTTGATGGATCCCTCAGAACAGAAGACCTGCTAGTGGGCAAATCCCCACGGTCATGCCTTTCATAGTCCATGGACCTTGAACCTCCACTATCATGGCTAGAACCAGCATTTAAGTGGAGATTAGTTTCTGGGGGAACAGCGTGAGGATTCAGGTATTGACCTGATAAATTTTCAACACAACTCTCATTACTAGATTTACCTCTTCCAGATTGGTCACTCGAGGTTTCATGTTGATTAGACTTTCTAGAGATAAAGTTTGTCAGACCAGAAAATTTAGAGGAATCAGAATCATCCTCATCACTGTCAACTAGACTATCTTCTATCTTAATACCTTTCCCAAAAGATTCAAAGATCCCTTCTAAGCTAGATATAATCTCTGGTACAGATTTGGATAGAGATAATTCGCACAATTTCTTGAACTTCAAAAGCATCCAATTTCTCAATGATGGACTTCTACCAAAAACCTACGTAAAATGATATTACATGCCACAAGAAATGAGCAATAGACAAACATAGAAAAAAATAGAATATAAAGATAAAATAATTCATATACTAATAAGAACGCTTTATCAAAAAAGAATTTGGAAATAAGCGAACCAATAAAGTCCATTAAATTTAGTTGATAGATGGAGTAATTATAAAGCTTTACCAGACCCAACAAAGAGCTCTTTAGAACAGAAGATGCATCTTCCAGGACATTGCCACTATCTGATCCAGGTGTCTCACCGGTAAGCACACTGCCTTTGGTGCTTGTTCCAAGGGGATCCGTACAACTTTTAGGCTCTATATTTAGTTTATCAAAACTGCAATTGGCATCAAGATCATCAAGCCTGCCTGTTGCCTGTCTCATAAAATAGAGCCCTTTATCAGCTTCAGTTTCAGATGACCTGAAGAGCTCAAAACAGACATACAACAATTTTTTTGGATAACGGAACAGAATCCAGAGTAGAATCAAGACACGGAATTTGGATAACTTAATCAATGAAGATTCATCTTCATCAGAAAATTTTTGCTTTAGCGCAGAATACATTTCATCAGAATCCAGAATTTTGCAAATATCTTTATCAACAATTTGAAACAAATCCTTCCCCTTGAAGGATGCTAAGAGAAAGGAGAGAACATTCTGGAAAACAGTTGAGCAGATGGCTCTTGCAACCAATGATCTTGGTGCCTCTATAGAAGCTGTCGAACAAATATCAGCTAGACCAAAAATGCAAGCTTTAGCAGTTTGGAACGCAACATTATCAGCATCTTCTTCCCTACTCATAACTTCCAAGCTAGAGTTATGCACATTGATGATGGCTTTGGTAGCAGCTTCAAGGGCGGCTGGACAATACGAGGCATATCGTGGAACAAAATCAGCCACAAGTCGCTGTACGCTTATACAACCTGCATAGTAGTAAAAGAATGTTCCTAAAAGTTATTTCATAACTACAAGTTATTTCCTAAAAAAACTATTTCATAGCATCATCCAAACCATTCTAAAGATGAAGTTCCATTCAAACCAATCAGATTATTATAAAACTCCAACTCCCAGAATCTACTCATTAACTAAAATTTATTTCATTTAGATTAAAAAATAACTTTCTTTTCATTTTGATTCTAAACAAAACATGCATCAATTTCCCCCTTCAACTCATGGAGGATCAAAATCAATGTCAGAAATTATAGGGAAAAGAAAAGGCAGAAAAGTAAAAGAAGCCGACCTCTAGAAACAGAAATTAGAGCCAGGTAAGCTTGTTCAAGCTCAGGCATGTACCGAGCATCTTTCCCTTTAAGGGAAATCCAAGACTTAATTCTCTTGTAATTCTCGTAAACACGTCGAATCTCGTCTCTGTTTCTCCTCCTCGAGAGAATTTCTTCTTGAGACAACGGCGTTGGAGTGGTTGGCAGAGCCACGTAGGTCTCCGGCTGAGACACCGTCTCCGGTGGCGGATCGAAGAGCCTTCGCTTCTTCAACGGTTGTTCGGAAGATGCCATCGCCATGGTCGCGCAGAGGAAGATGAGAAAAGCGACGCCGAGCGAAGCGGTGTTTTTCTCTCGCTGCGATGAGTAAGTTAGGGCGTTAGAGGAGGATCGGAGTTGAACGGTATTATGATATTAGGTACTTACATTCGAAGCCTGTGAGTTACGGGCCAACCCATACTACTATCATAAACTTACAATCCACGTCATAGCTTATGGATTTCGACCATTTCACGACAGCTTAACCTATTCCGGGGCCAATGAGCCCTTTTGTTAATTAAAATATATATGTTGGCCAATATTTAATAAAAGATTTATTTCAAACTAACAATAACAAACAAATAATTTAACTAAATAATTATCAATTACATAATATATATTATTATTTATAAATCATTAAAAATATTTTAAAATTTAAAATCAAATAATTTAAATATCAAAACTCAAACTATTATTAATATTAACAAATAATATTTTCCAATATGTATTAATTTATAATATAGGCAATTGTCTTTTATGTTTCATGTGTATTATATCATAGACTCCTATCTCTACACCAGTCATGGTCCAGCCAATGAAAATCATCTCCTTCGTATAAAAAATTTATTGAATAAAAAATAATATTAATAAAATAATAAATAAAAATAATAGTTCTCGTTTACTGATGCAGTGAATAGAGTTCATAATATAATTTCTTCCTTATTTAAAATTAAATTAATTTAAAAATTTCAAATCATGATTCAAATTTCACTATAAATTTATGGACAATATATTGATTCATAAATTTTTATTTGATACTTATAAATTTATATATTATTCATTAATTGTATAATATTATCTTATAAATAAATTATTATCTTACTTAAATTATTAAAGAATATGTATCTTTTCAAAAATAAAGGTAAAAAAATTAAGACTTAGAGAATAATTTTATCTTTGTACATGACAAATTATCAATGCTGCTCATAATTTTCGATTGCATCAATATTATCTGCAAATTCTTAATTTATGTTAATATTGTCATTTGACTTGTAAAAATTGTCATTGATCGTAATGATATTTATATGACTTTCTATGTGATGGTCTGCACGTAATTGATGATTAGATAGATTTAATCAACTTTTATTTTGAAATTTTAATTACTTATTTAATCTTTAAGAAAGAAATATAAAAATGTTAAAATTTTAAGATATTAAAAATATATAACAATATAAAACAAATTGCCATCCTGATCCAAAAAGGCAAAAATGTAACTAATATCATTAAGATTTCTCAATTTTATAAGTTAGCAACTATATATAATATTATTTATTTTTGTTTAAAAATTTGTTGACAGTTGACTAAAACCGCAACCATGGTAAGCAATGGAAGCATACATCCACAGTTCATCAGAACTGTTCATAAAAGAGCGCAAATTTTCTTGTTCAGACCGATATCCACGCCATTGTAAGCAATGGGAGCATGCATCCACTGTTCATCAGAGCTTAAAAGCTGCAATCATGGAAAAAAAATGGGAACATTACTATGGTTAATTTCACTTCAAATCATTTCTGTGACTAGATTAAAGCATTATTTGTTTTAAGGATTTTCGAATTACCTTAATTTGGAGCTGCAAGAACTTCACATGATGAATGGCGTCTTCAAGCATCGTGCTGATATCAACCTGTATTACCATCATCAATGAACATGAGTCTTGTGGATCTCATTTCCAAAATATATATGAAAGTATAATATTAATTAATTACCTTTGTTCCGTTTGGGACAAGGTTCTGTAAAATTCTCAATTTCTCGTTAATCCTTTCTCTTATTTTCTGCAATGACCAAGCAAAAAATAAAAATAAAAAAGATTTAGATATTTCGCCTTCTGCCAATGGACTCGTAATATAGGCAGGAAAAATCTTACCCTTGCATAGAGGTTCTTCTCTTTCCATTCAAGTTAAGAGCTTGAGAAACATTGTCATCATCTGAACTAGAGGTGCTAGAGCTCTGTCAGTCCCCTCAGATGTTGCTCTCTTGGTTGCCGATTAAATTGTTCTTCGGGTTCTTATTCCACTGCACATCCAAAACCATGAATTACAACTTCTATAATCAAGATCACAGGCATGTATGTAATAACTTAAAATTCCTTTTTTTTTTCCCTCTTACATCTTTTGGAAGCTGAGCTCTTTTCTTTGTGGTCCGAGATGAATCGGTATTGATTTTATTATCCCCTTCATCATGCAGTTCCAGCACATCGAACTTCCTCTTGAGCAGCGATTCGTTAGCATTATCAGTGCTCAAGTCTTCAATGACATTAACAGCGTTCCTCACTGCAATGTTGGGGAATGGTGAGGGAAACGAGTGGGTAATTTTATCATTTACCCCGTCAATGTCCGTTGAAATATCCAAGGACATGGTGACACCATTTGTTACAGCAATACGATTAGAATCACACTGGGAATAGATTTCATGATTTAGCTGAGGAACAGAGACACTACTACTTGAATTGCTACTCCAACTGCTTTCCTGAGATTTGTAGTGAAAATCAGGATCAAGAGCATTGGAAGAACAGAACAAACTCTCAGCAACGCTCGTATTGGCTTCAGGATTAGTACAAAAGGTCGAATGATCATCGTGCACTGGAGGAAAGAAAAACTGATGAAGAATTTGGTGCATGAAATCAAGCTGACCTTCTTCATAGGAGAACATGCTGTTAAATGAGTCCCAATCTTCATCATGGAAAACTGCAAGCGACTCCATTTTCTCTCTTGTTTTGTGATGAGGAAAAGATGGTTGAGGTGAGCAAACAAGTAGAGACATATTTATACCCCCAAACCATGAGGAGAATGTTAGCAGGGATTGACTTAAATTAGATTACCGAGTTATTAATTCCAAAACCATTATTCTGATGCTAATCCAGGAGTCCACCGTGGGGCCAAAACCAGGCAAAGTACAATTCATAGGACGGCTAAGTTCATGCGTTAAATTAATTCAAAGACTTCAGCCCTTAGACCTGATAAAATTGTAGTTAAATTGACTTAATGGTCCAGTAAATGTGATTTCTTAAGCATGTTAGATAGAGCAGTGAGGCTTAGGCAAAGAATGAAGCAAGCGTAAGAAGTAAACCGCTCTTTCCCTTGAATATAATAAACATCGGGAATGTCGAGAAGATTAAACAAACAAGTGTAGCTATAGGACGGGCCTGCACATCGTGGGGATTGAGTCTGACATTCATTAATTAAAATGAACATAAAATCCCGACGCTGTAACGACCAAACTCCTCTCTTGTCCTAGATGGCAACGGGCAAGAAACCAAAGGTTGTTCCTTTGCTTTTAACTTGCTACCAATGATAATTCAAATATTATATATCGGTGGTACGACTGTAACATATTCGTCTCTTTACAGCTGATCAGTTTTAACGGTTCAGGTCAAATCCTTGAGCCATTGCAAAGGAAAATTTCATATGCACCAAGCCACCTTCGAAATCTAAACTTTTACCTTCTGTTTTGCAGGCTCCTCAGATCGAATTAAAGGAATTACCGGATCACTTGAAGTACGTATTTTTGGCCGATAACGATACTTTACCAGTGATTGTGTCGAACAAATTAACCAAGGAAAATGAAGAAGATCTTGTAACGGTATTGCGTGCGCATAAAGAAGCTATTGGTTGGACCATTGCCGATATTAAGGGTTTGAGTCCCTCAACTTGTATGCACAAGATTAAGATCGGAGAAAGAGCTAAACCATCACGAGAAGGACAAAGCCGACTAAATCCGCTGATGATGGAAGTGGTAAAGAAGAAAATTTAGAAGCTTCTTGACGCCGATGTCATCTATTCGATCTCAGATAGTAGTTGGGTAAGTTCGGTTCATGTTGTACCTAAGAAGACCAGTGTTACGGTAATAAAAAACCCGGAAGGTGAGTTAGTTCCAACTAGAGTACAAAATGGGTGGCGAGTCTGCATAGATTACAGGAAGTTGAACTCTCTAACTCGTAAAGATCAATTTCTTTTACCTTTTATTAATCAATTAATAGAAATATTAGCCGGTAAAACTCACTATTGTTGTCTCGAAGAATTTTCAGGTTTCTTCCAAATCCCGGTGGCGCCTGAAGATCAAGAAAAAACGACATTCACATGCCCTTTCGGAACGTTCGCTTATAGGCGAATGCCCTTCGGACTGTGCAATGCACCTGCCACATTTCAACGTTGTATGCTCAACAATTTTTTTGATTTTATCGAGAAAGGTATAGAGGTATTCATGGACGACTTCACGATATATGGTAATACTTTTTCCGAATGCCTTTTTAATTTATCAAATGTTTTAAAGCGGTGCCTAGAATACAACCTTATTTTAAATTACGAAAAATGACATTTTATGGTTGATAAAGGGCTGATTCTAGGACACATTGTTTCTTCTAATGGTATTACGGTCGATAAAGCCAAGACAAATGTTATTAGCTCACCCCCTTACCCCACTACGATAAGGGAAATACATTCTTTTCTTGGCAATGTAGGATTTTATCGACGGTTTATCAAGGAATTTTCGAAGATAACGCAGCCGTTGTGCAATCTTCTCCAAAAAGACCAAGCTTTTGACTTTAATCTGGAGTGCCAAAAATCGTGGAACACATTAAAGGAAAAGCTAATCACGGCACCAATTGTGCAACAACCAAACTGGGAAAATCCATTTGAGCTGATGTGCAATGCCTCCGACACTAGCGTTGGCATGGTTCTCGACCAAAAAATTGGCAAAGAGTCGCACGCCATTGCTTATGCGTTCCACACCTTAGACTCAGCTCAAAGAAACTACTCTACAACCAAAGAAGAACTTCTTACCATAGTGTTTGCTTTAGAAAAAATTCGATCATATTTACTTGGTACTAACATTATCATTTTTTATGATCATCCATCATTACGTTACCTGATGAGCAAGAAGGAAGCAAAGCTGAGGCTAATTCGGATTCTACTCCTTCAAGAATTCAACTTGGAAATAAAAGATAAGAAGAGGCAAGAAAACTTAGTAGCCGATCACTTGAGTTGAATTCCTATCATCTCATTCGACCCGCCAATTAAAGAAGAATTTTCACAATAACACTTAATGTTGGTGCAACAAAAGAATTTGCCATGGTTTGTTGACATGGTGAATTACTTAGCCACGGGTAAAATTCCAATACACTTACCAAAAGTGGTAATTAATCAAATCAACAGGGAATCCCGGTTTTACATTTGGGATGACCTTCTTCTTTGGAAGCACTACTCCGATCAAGTAATCCGACGTTGTGTCGGTCTTTAATTTCTGTCATTCATACTCGTGTGGCGGTCATTTTAGACCGAAACTGTAACACCTAAAACCCGTATAATTATACCTATATATATTATATATGTCACCTGAAATTTCATAAAATATTTTCCCATTCAAAGTGATTTAAAATTTCTTTTCTTAAAATGGTAAATGATATTATAAAAATATCATATTATATTAAATTATCACATACTATTTAAAACATATATTAATATGGATTTATGTTATCCATATTGTAACAGAGTAAAACAATTTAGTTTAACCATTACAAACCATTTTTTTTAAATAGTTCAACAGAGCAACTAGGACATTAATAAGTACATGCCACTAACAAAGTCAAAATTTCATCATAGGATGTCTTACTGATACTGTAGTATATTCCTTGATGCTTGGAGTGCTATGTACTCTTTACTCTACTCTTGGCTTTTTACCTACATGTGAAAATCATCACACGCTAAGTATATACTTAGTGAGGTAATTAAAAACAATAAACAGTGCAATTTAACTCATGCATGAAATTTAATGTCATAAACAAATGTCATAAGATCATGTTACCTACATATCCAATATTTTACCATGATCAAAATAATATAAGTGAATATAAAATTTCTTACCAATATACTTGCCATTTATCCCATAAGCTCGCAAGCTTATTTGTATGTTTATCATTCATTAACCAATAAACCATAAATCATAAACCATATACTATAAACCATAAACCATAAACCATAGCCCCATATAAAACCCTGAGGACCCTGCGTATTCGAGTAAATATCTGCACCGTAGTGCTAAACCTGCACTAAACTTACGCCATAGTGCTAATCCAGATATGACACTTAAGGTTGTGCCCACCTCCTACACTAGGTTTACACACTAGTGTTAATCCGGACATGATACATAAGGTTGTATCCACCTTCCCGCACTTAGTGCCCTTACACACTATAGTACTATTATAAACCTGCAGCTGCTATACTCTATGGCATGCCAACTATACCCTATCCCTCAATGACTTACTTGGGCATATAATCTATTTTATTTAATCCATCCATGGCAAATTATATTATCGTAATTTAACATTAGGCAGTTCATACCTGAAATAACATTCATGGTAAAATATCACATTATCCATGATCAATGCATTATAATTTCACACAGTGACATATCAATGTCATATCGAAGTTATAAAAATGACATAATATCATGATGATATAAACAAGGTCGATTTATCGCAAGTCTTCCTGATGATGTATAAAACATCTATGTACAATGTCATGCATGTATTGCACTCACCTTGACATTTTATATATTCCAAAATATGTGCCTCACTATGATCCACAACAAACCCTTTTATATTTGACTTGCTTCGATCACAAATCAATCACGATCTGTATAAATCATAAATTCATAACGATTCATATGTTAGTATTGTACTAACATAAACACATCCCATAATAACTCCATAATATAATTGAAACTCATTTTCTACCAAATATTTAACACTTAATAATTCCTTTTAACATTGACACCAACTTTTTCAATTTACACAAAATGGGCCTTCACCATTTTATCACTTAAATTTTTAATACAAAAAATTCCATCACCGAAGTTATTACCAACCAAGTGCTTTTATAAAGGTACAATTACATTTAAGTACCCCAACTATGCGAATATTGCACTTAAATCATCAATCTTTTCAAACTTCCAAAATGATCATATTTCACATCTAAACACTTATTTTAATTCCAAAACAGTAATTTCCAGCATAGTACATCAACTATTAAACAATTATATAACCATTCACAACTTTTCCAAAATTACCAAATTAGTCCCCCAACTTTTCAAAAATTATAGAATGATCCCCAAATTTTTCTAAGGCTTGTAAAATACTTCCTACATCATTTCCATACCTTATATAATTTTTCCAAAATTTTTCTCATCCTTTAAGACTAAGGCTGAATTTTAAAGAATAATTTATAGGAAGATTGAACATGTTTTAACCATAAATCAATCTTGAAAATGAAGCTACCACCTCAAAAACATCAAGATTCATCATCAATTTCATGAACCCTATCATGAACATAAACCCTTAGATTTGGGATCTTTGAAATTCAGCAAGATTAACAAACAATATTGGTACCAAATGATCGCGTAGAACAATTTTCTATTTCACGGCATAATCCGAAATCCAAAGTAAATTGCTCAAAAATGGAAAACAAAATTTTTTTCTGACCTTTGGGAGGAACTCATGGCAGTGCTGGTGAAGATGAAGAAATTCCTTTGTCAATTCTTCATCTTTCTTTATTAAATAATGAATTAAAAATTCATTAAATACTAAATTACCAATTTACCCTTAAAATTAAAATATCCATACTAATTTACCCTTAATGAACTTGATATTTACCTTAATACCAAGCCACATAAACCTTATCATCTTCCAAAGTTAAAGATGAACAAATATTTTCCCACTTTACCGTTTTGCCCTTGAGATTTTCAAAAAGTATAAACTTGCCACTTTAATCTAACAATCCAAATTAAACATGAAATTAAATCTTAAAATCTAAATATTTATATTATTTACCAACATTTAAAAATGTGAAAATAATATATATTTTCTTTTATTTTCGAAGCCAATTGTAACTTTTAAAATTACCATTTTGGTTCTTGAACTTTTCCAAAGTTTATACTTTGGTCACCTAACCTTAAAAATTTATAATTTGGTCACTCACTAAATCCATTTATGAAATAATATTCTTTTTGGGAAAATTACCACTTAGATCCTTAAACTTTTCCCAATTTTCTTCTTTGACCATCAAACTTTCAAAATTTACATTTTGATCATTATCTAAATTTTTGGGGTATTACAGAAACGCACTGCTCACAAGATCTTAGAATGTGATTTCTTTTGGCTGAATATTTTTAGAGATGCTTATTTCATTGCAAATCAAGTGAAAAGTGTCAACGAGCAGGTAATCTGAGTTGTAGAAATGAAATGCCTTTAATCCAATCCATATATGCAAAATTTTTGACGTATGGGGCCTTGATTATATGGGTCATTTCGTTTCGTCTTTTGGTATCACTTATATTATTCTCATTGTTGACTATGTTTCAAACTGGGCTGAAGCGAAAGCAACCCGAAATAATGATGCGAGAACAACTGTGAATTTTCTGAAAAATTTTATTTTTCAGGTTTGGCACACCAAGGGCGATTATTAGCGATAAAGGAACTCATTTCATCAATCGCATTATCGAGGCGCTTATGAAGAAGTTTGGCGTGACATAAAGGATTGCTACGGCTTACCATCCGCAAACAAATGGGCCAGTGAAAGTGTCGAATCGCGAAATTAAGGCGATTTTAGAAAAGATTGTCAAGCTAGATCGGAAGGATTGGAGCTTAAAGTTAACCGATGTGCTTTAGGCATATCAAACAACTTATAAATGGACGATTGGGATGTCTCTATACCGCCTTATTTTTGGTAAATTGTGTCATTTGCCGGCTGAACTAGAACATCGAGCCTATTGGGTGGTGAGGCAATGCAATATGGAAATGGAATCAATCGAAGAAACACAGAAACTACACATTCAAGAGTTAGAAGAAATCTGACGAAACACTTACGATAACGCCTAAATTTTTAAAGAAAAAATGAGAGAGTTCCACGATCGAAGGATATCCTTTAAATCGTTTAATGTTAATCAAAAGATTTTGTTATTTAATTCTAAACTTAAGCTTTTTGCAGGTAAACTTCGATCAAAGTGGCTCGGACCATTTATGGTGACTCAGGTTTTTTCCTCATGGCGCAATAAAAATTGAAGACAATTCGGGAACTCGATTTAAAGTAAACAACCAAAGGTTAAAACCGTATTATGAAAACGTTCCAGTTGGATTAGTCAAGGAGATTGACTTAGAGGAACCCACGCTTTAAAGATCAGGTCATCGAGCTAACGACATTAAATAATAGTGTTTTATGAGAGGCAACTCATTTCGTTTTCTTTTAATTCGTTTCTTTTTAATTTCAATTTTTAGTTTTCAATTTTCGTTTCTTATTTTCGTTCCTTGTTTATTTTACGTTTTTTTATCTTTAATTTGAATTTTGTAGGTACCCTAAGCATTTTAATTTAAGTACGGTCAAAGCCGAAGTGAAGAATTAATTCGATCAAAGCAAGAATTGGCCGAATTCAAGGCCAAAATTGGAGCTAAAATCGTGAATGGCTTAACAGATTAGTGACTAACAAGCAGCAGGTAGGTCTGAGATTAGCGACACATACATTCAACTCGGGTAATTCAATAACACAAGCACACTCCCCCTACGCGCTCTGCAAAAAACAGTCAATCATATAAACAGAAATGCCCAAACATGATAAACAGGACCAAGAGGATGTTCAAACGCAAGGAGAAGACAACCCTAAGGCAATTCCTAGTACTCCTTAAAATCATAGGCCCACTTATAGGTGGAAACAAAAGTGATGTGATCAACAAAGCATTCTCTACCATATTATGGCACATAATGTAGAAAATAAGAAGGGTCTTGAAATTCATATTTAAATTGAAGTACCTAGTAGCCTAATTGCAGCACCCCAGGTTCCACTAGTGGCAATAAGATCATCTATTATTAAAGCACGTTCTCCTCCTTGGACAACACCAACATGCATTTCCATTTTATCTGTTCCATACTCCAAAGAATACACTTCCGATATAACCTCCCCTAATAAAGATCAAAATATTTAACAATTAATGCAAAGACGGCAGTCTTTTGTATTGATATTGAATCTCTTTGGGAAATTGGTAATTATCAGAATCGAACAGAACACAAAATTATCAGCAATGAACCACATTATCATAAACAACAGTTCAACATTGTGGATGTTTAATAGCTGAACAAAGCTTCAATGTTGTTAACAACTTGAAGTGACTGAGGTGTACAGTTAATTATGATACAAAGAAAGAAGCAGAAAACATACCAGGCAATTTATTGGGTTTCCTCATAGGAACAAACTTTGCCCCAATGGCCAATGCAATACGTGGACCAAAAATGAATCCCCTTGCTTCTACACCAGCATTTTTCCATCAGTATTACATCAACTACAAAAATCCCAAACACATACAACATATCTCAAGAAAATGCACAAACATTATTGCAGTCAGATCAGACAACATTATTGAATGAAATTTGACCAGTTTCACTGAACCAATATAATGAAAGTTTTTAGCTTCTTGATCTTATAAGCTTAGCAACCAAACACATCAATCAAGTGGTTTTCATGTGTTCAAAAGCAGATTAATACTATGTATTAAGAGAAGATATTTACCTGCAACAATAGAGATATTTTTCCCTCTGTACCTCTCAACAAACAAATCAATAGTACCACGAAATGCCTTGTTATCTAGAAGCAAAGTTGTTTTGTCCTGAAACATTATTCTCGATCCAAAGGAAGGAAACCCTAAAGAATTAATAAAGTAAAAAAAGGAAAAGAAACAGAAAACAAAAGGCAAAGGTGATGGAAGGGTTGTTTTAATTTTTTACAAGGTTTAAGATGGGAAAAGTTCCACGTGCGGTAGTTTTAATATATGATTAAAAAAATACGTTACTGATATTTTTTTATTTTTTAATAAAACTAATAAAAAATTATTAAAAATATTATTATTTTTATCATTTTTGTTATTATTAGACACTTTATCGAAAATATTAAAAAATATTAATATTTTCAGTAGAAATAATAATATTTTAATTATTTTTTTATCTATTTCGTTAAAAAATAATAATAAAATCGATAATTTATTTTTTTAACCGTGGTAGAACTTCCCGGACACAAATTGCTGAAGAAATTTTGGAAATCCGAGGGTCTTGTTCATCTTGAGACGCCATTTTTAGTTGATTTGCAATCGAGTCACTCGCTGCTCAAACTCAAAACAGAAGGCAACGAATCAGATAGGTAAGTCAAGTGTGAAAGAGAGGCTGCCGGTTGACACTCACCGTACCAACCAAAAAACACCCTAAAGTCCAAATAAAACAAATAAATAGGTAGCCACTAAAAATCCATTTATGTCTATAAGACCAAGCTGCCCCCGGCTTAAATATCTTCACCCACAGTGCCATTTTTACATTAATAGCCCTCAACGAACAAACTATTACTAGTACCGGGGACTGAGAGCTAGTCAAGAAAACAAGAAAAATTACCGGAGCAAAGGGGAGGAAAGAGGGTAAGCCTGTAATTTCGCAAGCGGACGGCTGGTTGGAAGAGAAAGGGTCGATCCAATCGTCGTCTCGTCTGGGGAATACAACGCTACCAGACATAGCTGTCGTTGTTGACAATCAAGAATAGAATGGATTTGAACAAGGGAATATAAAAGCCCTTTGCATCATTATGCGCTACCGGCGACTATATAATTAGAAAAAAAAAAGAACAGAGTCTGAAGATTTAAGAGGTTAGAAAAGATCCCAGACACGAGTTTCGAATGTTACTCGAGAAAAACTTTTAACGGAAACTTGCAAATTCCCTTAATGGAAAAGGGTAATTTCAGTGACGAATTCATAAATTAAAAAAAATCTAAAATGTTTATATTCTTTATTTAAAAATAATAAATATGCAAAAAGTTTTATTTTTCTATTTATTCTTAGGATGTGTCTTTTATTCTCGACAATACTGATGAATACTATTAATGATGAACGTTATTAATTTAATTTATAAAAATTTAAATTTAATAGGACTCAACATATAATTATAAATTATCTAAAATAAAAGATAAATTATTTAAAATAAAAGATAAATTATATCAATATCCACCTAATTATTGTCATTTTTTTATTTTGACCACCATTTTTAAAATTATATCAATCAGATCACTCAATTATTTAAATTCATTCAATTAAACAACTTGCAGTTAATATTTAACGGAGAAGCTAATGTGGTAATATAATTCCACATTTGGTCATGTTACTTATATATTCTATCAATTTAGTCCTAATTTTAATAAATTAAAATGAACTTAACTCTCAAATCAAATTGCATCTTCCAAAGTTTGGTCGATATCGTATCATAAATTAAAAATGACCACCACAATAATAACATTACTGGAAAAAAGCCTCAATCAACCAAAATTATTATATATATAATTAATGTTTTCCGATAACAAAAATTTGCTCTAGATTATTACTTCATTTATATTATTTTTTATATTTCATTTATTCGTTTAATTGATTTACAAGTTTTCAAACTTAATTTAATATTTTAAAATTTACTTTAATTTTTCACTCCCTAGTTCTCGAGGCATTTGCCAAGAACTACTACATCTACTGTCATCATGTTTGTGCTTCTTAAACCATGAGGAGTGTTGGGTGAGCAGCATCTCCAATCAACACTACATTGTCCCAATAAATCTGCCTTAGAGGATCACAATCATATATAGAATTTAAGAAAGTGTGTCTTCTTCATGGCTTTTACGAGCTCCGAAACCCAAGTTTTATCGTCTTCTTTGATTAAAAAACATCAAGTTATAGTTATTATAATATTTTGAATAAATTCATTGAAACAATTTTAGATTCTAAAATTAATATAAGTTATTTATTTCAATTAGGCACACAAATAGAATCAAAGAAGATTACACGTGATGCTTCGAAAAATGTAACAACAATCAGTGCAAGCATACACTATCGTATCAAGTAATAAAGTGGATGCAAATTAATGCATCGAGTATCGTATCCATAGAGACTAGTATTACTCAGAGAATTGCTATAGCATTTAGTAAGTAAAATAACATAATTGTATATGTGATGCTGTGAACAAAGCAATAAAATATAAAAGCTAAAATAAATATGCAAATAAAGACATTAAGGGATGAAGGGAATCACAATAGTGGCAATGAAAGCATTGGATCGACTCAAGCTAAAGATTATGGTATTGTTAAACTCAATCATGCAATTAACAATACCACAACAATACGATTGGTGCGTATAACATTAACTTAGCAAGTTTTCCTCTCTCTATGGCTCCACCCAAAAACTCACAGCAATGTTGCATCTCTATACCAATTGATACAAATTTACTAAGGATGCTACGACAATTAATCAGCTAGATCTCTCTATACTGAAACGTTACTCTCGCAATCACTGATGTTGCGACAGTGATACTCACCTCTTGATACAGTGCTCACACAATGCCACTCGCCTTTCGATGCAATAGATTGGGAAAATATATATTTCCATACTAAATGCCTTAATAAAATCAAGCAATCACCAATCGAATCAATAGACAAAATTATTTAACATGAAACTCAAAATATATTTAAAAATATAGCATCCAAGGTTTAACAAATCCCAACCAAATTAAAGAGTATTTCAACTAAATGAAAATAAAACCCCTTATCAGAATTATTTTATTATTGCTATCGTTAATGCTCTTGCCGATTACCAGCCACCACCTTTCAATGCTGACTTTACCTTTACGTCTAGATGTTGTTTTTCCCCCAAAGTTGCTTAAGCATCTATGATTAATGGTGGAGAAAAGAAAAGAATAAAATAAAGCTCTCATTTAATTGGTGGCTACCTCATCCTTTATATAATAATTAAAAATCCTAAAAAGTAGAATTTAAGCCCACATTAAATTAAGACTCATTTTCCATTAAGATTTCTTTTTATTTTCAGTCTTTTCCATAGTAGGATTCTGTCCAGCTGTTAACAGCTTTCTGCCCACTCATCGATTGCTACAACAACAACCAAGCAATCCTATTTTTCACCAAGGCACAACAACAACTGCAATATCAGACAATGTCACATCATCAGGGTAACAATCTCACAACAAAATATCATAATTAATCCAAAAATTACCAACCCACTCAAGTAATGCATGTAATGCAAAATTAACTAAAAACACTCTAAATATGATCCTAATATGCTAAAGTACAAGCTAAAACCTAAGTACAAATTGTAATATCCCAAATTTTGACCAGTGACTAAAATGTAAGTTTTGAAAGTTTAGTGGCTAAAGTATAAACTTTGAAAAGTGTAGGAACCGAAATTTGTAATTTTTAAAAGTTATATATTTTTAGCCTGTAAATGAACAGTTTGGATTAAAACATAGATTTTAGTGGGAATCAGATTTTTGGTACGAGAATTTTGTTAAAAGCTATAAAGCAGTAAAGTTCGGTATTGAAATTGAATATTCGGATTGAATTAAAATTTTACGAAAATTTGAAGAATGTTAGAAAATGGTTGAAATATTATTTTCATATTTCAAATCAGAGAAAATTGGCTCAGAACAGTGTAATTTTTTAGATTTGACCGAACAATGGAATTTTAGTGACTAAAATGCAATTTTTGAAAATTGCATGGCCAATATCGAAAGTCAAAGCCAAGTTGATTCATCTTTGACAAAAGAATATTTTAATGGAAGATAATACAATGGCATTTGCTAATTTTCAAGATTTATTAAGGGTATTTTTGAGATTTTTCATTAATTGAATATTAAATTCAATTAATTAGAAATTTGCCAAGTGTCTTATCTATTAAATACTAGAAAACTCAAGAGAATCAACACATTTTCAGCTTCTTCCTTCATTTGGCCGTATGTTCAACTCAAGAGAATCAACACATTTTCTTCCTTCATTTGCCAAGGGTATTTTTGAGATTTTTTTATTTAACTATTAGATAGAAAATTAATCTACATGAAATTCTCTATCATTTGGTATCTATATTCATGGTGAAGATGATTATGTGATGAGATTTTATAATTTGGAGTTATGAAGAGTTAAATGATTTTAAAGAAATTGGTTGTAAGAATTGATGAAGAACCTAAGGATGCAAATTAATGAAAATAGTTTAGATTCTAAATCTGGCAGTGAGTTTGAAAATTCACCAGAAATTATATAAAAATAATTTGGAAGTGATTTTTATATATTATGTTCATATATCAATATATTTTTACTTAAAACTAGCGGGGATCAATTTCAAGGTGTATAAAAAAAGATATGAATTTTTAACCGAGGAAAGGTCAGAAAAACGGGCAGCAGATTTTGCACAAAACATATTATGTCGGTCAACTTAGAAAATTCACCATAAATTGTACATAATGAATTGTAAGGATTTCTTTATATGGTTAGATTCATATTTGAGTATATTTTTTAACGGAAGAAACATAATTAAATTCCAATGTTTATATCAATACAAAATACTGATTCTTTAAAGGTAGTGCAAGTTGTTTAAATATGAAAATTTTAGAATTTAAGTTGAAATGAATTAGAAGATGAAGAGTAATGTTTAAATGTTGAGTATATTTTTGGATGCTTGGAATTGAAGTTAAATGGTAAGAGACCATTTTGAATAAATTGGAAATGTTGAGAAGAATTCTAAAAGATTTCATTTTAATGGTTAGATGGTGGAATTTGAAAGGTTCCAAAACTTTGGGGACTTGTTTGCAAGTTCTTAAATGAAGTATTATTTGAGTAAATTATTGAATGCTGGAAAATTTATTAGTATGCTGAATTTTGAATTAAATATTAAGCTGAGGTTGAATTACAAATATATAAAGTTAAGTGTTGAAAATCGAAAGTTTAGGAAAGTTTGGGTTGGAATTTATAATGTTTTGAATATTGAAGAATTGATTTGGGTATTTTATTCAAGTGCTGAAATTTTAGTAATTAATGTACAATTATCATAATGGTGAAGGACCATTATGAATTAAAGGAAAAGTTGAGTTGAATTCTAGAAGGAATTTAAAATATGTGGTTTGATTTTATAATTGGTAAAGGTTGAAGAATCATGTTGGGAATAATTATTTATGGAATTGAATAAGTGTTTCGATAAGTTTGAAGTTATAATGGAGTTATGAGTTTGGTTGATATCGATTTAGTTATCAATTTTATTTTATAGATTTTCAAATGTTAAAATGAGCTTATATTAGTACGATACTAATATGTAGTTCGAACAATTTTTGTGTTATAATTTGGTATTGTC